ACCTGCAGTGTGGAGAGCCCGGGGGGGGGGGGAGTGTGCAATGCCCTGCCATTTCATGCTTCCCTAGGTTCAGAGCATTTTATACTTTTAGCTGTGATCCTTTTGCTTTTTCTTGATGTTTTATTTTTAAAATTGCATTGGCAAATCCCACTATCCCCCCATCTTTCCATTTTAGGTAGGCATCTTTTAAAGGGGGGGGGGGGGTTTGGGAGGTGCCAATTACCAAAGACTGTTAAATAAAATCTGGCAAGAGCGTTACTGTTTTAAGCATGTTTGTATTTTAAGTTAAAAAACCCTTCAGTTGTGTTTATCAGTATCCTTTATAAAGTTAATATCTTTACTATCTGGCATTACATTTATGGCACACATGGCCTGGCCCAACAAAGTCCCATTTATGTCAGATATGGCCCTCGTAACAAATAAGTTCGACACCCCCCTGGTATAGAGGCTTGGGGTTGGAAAGATTGTCTGATCAAGAAACTGGAATCCATCCAAAATCCTTTTTTAAGGAGAATTCTAGCTCTACCTACAGGTACTCCTGCAGCTTTGATTCGAGCAGAACTTGGTTTGCCCTCAGTTAGGGCTTGTGTATGTGTAGCCTTGATAAGATTTTGGAGAAAGCAAAGCAATGACACCACTAATTTATTTCGTAAGCAATGTTACAAAACAACGTTGCAAAACGATGCTGCTTGGATAGCCTACTATAATAACACCCTCCATTGCTGTTCTATATCAGATGACATGCGGAGAGTCCCCTGAGCTGGTTTTAATATTCAGGACTGGGTGCTTCCATATGATGCTGCAACAGATAGGCAGTCAGTCTCCCAGTCTAAATTTTTCCAGTTTGGTTTAAATTATGTAAAAGGAATCACGTTAGAGCCTCCTACCTGGTTAACATCTTCTCCCATAAACTCAGAATAGCCTTTACTTCAATTCGGTTTCAAACCATGCCAGCAGCTTTGTTAGCTAGACGCTACTGCTAGCTCTACACCACTGCATTTGCGGAGCTCCAGTTCCAGAAGGCCTACTGCATTATATTTAATCCTGTCTTCTTTGTATAGAGCCCAGAACCAAATTCCTTACAGCACTTTTAATGGGCTTAAACTTCTCTTCTGACCCAGAGAAGCTCCTTTTTCTTCTCTCGGACGCCAATCCATTTGTTTCCTACAGAGATTTGTTTTTTGCTTTAGCAGCTAAGAAAATAAGGGCTAGAGCTATATCTAAAGAGGGTAATGTTTTTACTTGACTAGTACTTTTTGGTTAGTTTATTTTAACACTGATGTTTGTAATCATGTTACATGCTATATGTCAGATTGTTATATGTGTCAGATTGTAACGGCTTTTCGCCACAGACAATAAACTATATCTACATCTATCCATTTGAATGGGCATTTAAGTAAATGTCCATGTGACATGCAGCTATCATGGAAAGAAAGGACACATCCAAAACTAATATGACAGTCTCATTACAAGCAAGGTAAACTTTGTTTCTTTAAAAAAATATAAAGCACCAAATAGCACACAAGATTACTTTCATACGTATAATTTAAAACCAATTTATACCAGTACAATAAATAAATTTACAAATGTAAAGTTTCAGTTAAAGCATCTTTAAAACACATCATACTATATAGCTTTATTGCACAATATCTATGAAAATAATCTTTAAATTAGAAACCAATGTTCTGAATATAGAAGAGATTCTAAGTTCAAGACAATAAGAATCTTTGAAAGTAACACTTTCACAGGATATCAAGCTTAAGAGGAGATTCTTTTGGCCCAGTTTATAAAATACTTGAAAAGTACTACTTAAATACTCTAATACACAGTTGCATCATTGTACCTTAAATACAAAGCCAAATAAATCTGACCGATTTTATATAAAGCGCTAAGGCATTTCTATGTCACCATTTTTACTAACTTTTGTACCATTTCCTTCTAGCAAGGGTCATCTACTTGTAGGATAGACACTCCCATAGGCATCTGTAAAAATGGATATTTCTATTGAAATGCAGTTTGCCACTTTTCTAGTGAAATATCAGCACATCTAAAAACAGCATGAAGCTCTAGTCCAACAGCATTTTATAAACACAGGAGAAGCAGTCCACCCTTACCATGAGACATCCTTCATTGCCCTCTGTTCCCAGTGTTTGTGAGACAACCACTGCCCACTCATGAAGTAGGACATAGTAGTTAGCAAATATTTCCTTCACACCCCATTGGCACAAATGGAAGTGTATCTCCTATGTATAATGTAAGGAGTAATGAAAATTATAGCTGCAATCAATAGTATGCTAATAAGATTGTTATAAAATGTAGGTGAGAAATCCAGTTTAATTAAAGCAATACATGACGGTAAGTAAGTTAACTTAGCAGGAGTATGTTCAGTTTTTTATGATGTGTCATAAAACCCTGGAAAGTATCAGATAAGGCTCTAATTTAAGGATAGTTGAATCTTTACAGAACTGCAAATAAAGTGTTCGGAAGGGATTTTAGTACCTTCCCCCTGCACTGCAACTCCTCACCGCCATGAGGGGAATTAACAGAAATCCTCCCTACCTTACAAAAAACTCTTGCTCTTTGTGCAAGAGGTTAGGGGGTTGAGTACATTTGTCAGTTTCACTTCTGACTGCAGCCCTGCACTGCATCTCACAACCAGAGCTCCTAGCCCTTATGATTGGTTTTCTGTCGGGGGTGGGGGTAGGGTGCAGATAGTTGTGATAGGAAAGTTATGTCCAACTACTATAGTGTGAAGGGAAAACCACTTGCATAATGGAAACATTTTCATTTGCAGAAAGAGACTAGGGAGGCATACACTCTGCACAGGAATACTAAAAAATCCCATTGCACTAGTTAGGTTAATGTGAATGTTGCTCAACTTACTCATGGCATCTAGTTGCTGGCTGATGTGTGTGAAAATCTTTGGATCTGCCCCTTCCACCCACTCACTGCAGCAGCTACTGTGGGAATGTATGATTAGCGTTGCTTTTCCATGTATATAAAATTCCTAATGCAGGCAAGTGATTGCCAGCTTGGGACACAGTAATAGAAAAGGTTATTCTTCATTTGAAATATACTTTAGCTGGCCCTACAAAACAGTATAGAAGAGTATATATGGCTTTTATGGCTACCACAGGTTTTGAAGTCTTTTGGAATTTATGATTTATATAACCAAAGTCAGCATGACACAACTTAACTAGTCAGATTTCCTTTGACATAGTGGTTCCAAATACAAAGAATGAAATTAATAAGAAAAAAATTGCACCTATTAGGGGATTTTCCTAATTATACTTTAGAGCAGTTCTTTCTAATATTCTCATAGCACCTTCTAGTAGTTGAGTGTTTCATTAAAATATATATAAAATTCATTTTCCCCTTCATTAGCATCTCTGCTGTAAAAAATAAAAAGCTTTTTACAATTTGATACTGTGTTACATTAAGCTTAAACATTCGCTGCTTGGAAAATTGTCCCTTTCCAAATCTCCAAACAGTTTTGTGCAATACATCTAATAAAAATGTATTATTGAATTCACTGCAAAAGGGCATGCAGGTGTACATTTAAAAAGTACTTTAATAAAATAAACTCTCTATATTACATTTTTTAAAAGTGCTAGTTAATAAAACAAATTTATTTTAACACACGCTCCAATTCTATTGAAATATGAACTGCATACTCTGCTCTTAAGCAGGCATATTGATTGTGTTAGAGATAGACGATATCACTTGTCAATTAGCCCAGCTTCTTTAATTTTTGTGTAGAAAAATTTCTCTAGTATATTGGCACACTTGTAGTATTCACTTTCAGGAGGGTTGTACTCTCTGCAGTTAGTAAACACGCGCTGCAAATCTGCCATGAATAATTTCTTCGATACATAGTACCGGTTTTTCAGTCGTTCACTCATAGTTTTCAGATCTGCATAAGAAAACAAACATCAGTTACTCTGCTTCTGAATGGCCTGTGGGCTAAAGACTGACTGACCAACACAGGAGTCTTATTCATAGAATAATACTGACACTTTTAACAACAGCTCCTTTTCTTAGCGAAACGAACCTCAAATTCTTTAAAAAAACCACGTAGATACTTTAGCATATTTTGTGTAAAAAGGTCAAGGTTTCCCTTGCTCAAAAGCTAGTTGAATCTGACTCTAGGGGGTGGTGCTCATCTACGTTTCCATGCCGAAAAGCCAGCACTGTCGGAAGACATCTCTGTAGTCATGTGGCCAGCATGAATAAATGCCGAGGCACACGAAACACTGCTACCCTCCCACCAAAGTGGTACCTATTTATCTACTTCCAATTTCTTGCTTTCGAACTGCTAGATTGCTAGATTGGCAGGAGCTGGGGCTCACTCCGTCATGCGGCACTAGGGTCTTGAACTGCCAAACAAAAGACCTTCCGGTCTGCAGCTCCAGCTCATCGTCTTAACCTCTGAGCCACTGTGCCCCATATTTTGTGTAACAGGTATTAAAATCAAGGCTAAGGTAAAGGTTCCCTTGCTCGAAAGCAAGTCGAATCTGACTCTAGGGTTGCGGTGCTCATCTCCATTTCAAAGCCAAAGAGCCAGCACTGCCCGAAGACATTTCCGTGGTCATGTGGCCGGCATGACTAAACACCAAGGCACACGGAACGCTGTTACCTTCCCACTGAAGTGGTACCTATTTATCTACTTGCAATTTCTTGCTTTCGAACTGCTAGGTTGGCAAAAATCAAGGCTATGGTTACACATATTAGAAATTATGTATCTAAACTCTGTCTTGCCTCCACTACAGCTTTTCCACAGGTGGAAGGAGTTCCCTTCTCACCTCCTCCCTTGCACTGCAGCCCAAAATGCCTTCTGCAGTGCTTTTTCTAGGGGATCTCCTGTATACCAGGAGCAGTATTAGGGGGTGGGTATTTTGGGCTGCAGCAGGAGACAAGAAAACTATCCTCCACAAGCAGAAATCCATCAAGATCCAAGTCTGGGATTATGCATGCTCATATAAAATGAGGCATGTTTTTGGTAGTGCCCACAATATCTGTGATGCAATAAATTATATATTTAGTTATAGTATTCATTCCTGTGTGTGTAAACTGCCCTCAAGTCACAGCCAGTTTACAGCAAGAGGCTTTCAAGGCAAGTGAGAAACAGAGGTGGTTCGCCTTTGTCTTCCTCTGCAAAGTCTTTCCTGATGGTCTCTGATCCCAGTACTGACCCTGCTTAGCTTTTAAGCTCTGATGAGATTGAACTATACTATACCACTCCATACCCCCACTTTCCTAACTATAACTTTCTAAAACAAATTGATTTAGGGGTATTACCCATGGGGAACCTTATAACTTCATAATATCCAGGAGCTTCTGTCCTCTTCACAGGTTCCATGAAAGGCCAAGCGCTTTGGTGGCTCTTTTGTAAAGGGGGAAAAAGTTTTTCATATGAATAGATGTTCCATACCAGAAAAAGTTCCCAAGTATTTACAGAGCATTATGCGAGCGACTCCATGGTGCAGCATATGTTTTCCATGCAGACAGTTCCAACTTCAATCTCTGATATTTCTAGTTCAAGAATCTCAGGCAGAGGTTGCTGAGACAGGACTTTGTCTGCCTGAAAGATCTGGAGAGATAGTCTGAGGATATGTGATGAACAATCTTGCTGAAGCTAAACCCGTATGGGTATAGTCAGTGACTGGATAAGCGAATTAAGCCTGGGAAGGGGGACTTAATGAGATCCCAAGATTCCTTCCAACTATCACATTTTATGATTGTGAGTGTGTCACTGACCAACTTAGTAGATGATATGGAACTAGACTAACATATGATACAATTTAATTTAAAAAGTCACCTTTATTTTGTAAGATTATTGGTGTATTTTTTATTTATTGTTTCATTTATATGTCGCGGTGCGTGGAATGCTGGCTGGCATGTCAGTGCCCAAAGGGAGATAGAGTACCCACAGAAGACTGGAGTCCAGAACTTAGGTGCAAAGACAGTGAATTTATTCACACCCAGCAACCACCTATATACAGTTCTGAGTGTCAAAGTGCTCCGCTGAAATTGATTAATGTGAGGGAAAAAGTCCACTGTACACTCTGTACATATATACAACCTCTGGCCAATCAGCACACAGCTGATGCAATCCTCCTGCAATACCTTAGTGCCAGGCTAGACTGCCTCAAACCAGTTATGGCCAGCCTCCTTACAGTCACATGCTACCTCTAGCTGTCACTTTACTTTGACACTAGATCAAACCCATCTAGGCCAGCCTTACCATTATAAGTGAATCACGACATTATATCCCTCCATTCCTGCATAGCAGGTTTAGGGCGGGTTCTATCATGCCAGGTAACAATTACATAAATATGCAAATAACAGTTAAAACCAATTAAAATACATCAAAATTAAAATACAAATTGTAGATTCTGATACTCCAGAGTCTCAACAGATGGAGTCTACCACAAGTTGGGGTCTTTCAGATCTGGGTTACTGGAGGGGAGGCCCAATAGGGTGTGGATGGCTGCCAACTCAGCTAAAAGCCTGGCAGAAGGCCTCCATCTTGCAGGCCCTGTGGAACTGTAAAAGACCCTGCAGGCCCTGATCTCATATGGGAGCTCATTCCAGCAGGTAACAGCCAGGGCCAAAATATCCCTGGCCCTAGTCAATGCAAGATGGATGTCCCTGGGGCTGGGAACCACCAGGAGATGCTGGTTTGCAGATCATAGTGCTCTATGGGGTTCATATGGGGAGAGGCGGTCTTGAAGATACGTGGGCCCCTGGCCGTATAGGGCTTTGAAGGCAAGCATTTTAACATTCCCTGCTCTTTCTCAATTGAAATAATCTTGTAGATTTACCAAGATTCATATGATCCAAATGAATACTCACCTTTACCTGTTGTAGAATGTTTTTTAGAGTGCTGTACAGCTGATCTGGATCTTTGGGTTCTTTACTTGAAAGAAAATGTGGACAAGAAGATTAACATGTATGTTTTGTTCACTTTTAGTAGTCTCCTTAAACATTTCCAAAAGTTACTGCTACAGTTACATAATACCGGACAACAGATACTTCCAACAGTTACAACTAGAAAGGCTTCTTGTTCTTTTGTACAAACAGCTCTTACCCTTTCTCTTTACTACTTGGCTTCCAGCCGGTCTCTCCTATACAGCAAACAAAATGAAAGCATTTGAGAACAAGCAAGATAAAAACAGAATTAATAACAAAACTGCAGCATATTCCTACTTCTAAAACTAATCACAAACAACCGCTATACTGGAATAACTCCAGCTCCATCCATTTTGCTTTGCAGGGTGCTGCATTCCTCAATAATATGTCCCCATAAGGCCCCAGTTCTTAAATGTATTACTAATTCCTTTGTTCTGTGTTACTTCAAACTACAGACTGGGATCAAAACAAATATTTATTTGGTTCTTTGAGCCTAAGGTTGGTTTAGATAGGAACCAACTCATTGCACAATCCAACATACAAAACTGCAACCTTAAACCCACCTCTTATTAGGAACCGAGTCACCATGAATGTTATTGACCCTTCTAAAAGAAACTTGTTTAGTATTGCTCTATCTTTCAGTTTTAAAGAGACCTCCTAAGAAAGCCAATATTCTAATTTCCCTTCAGGACAAACTAAATGTGAATGCAGAAGGGTAGACATTTTTATAGCTAAAGCAGGAAGGGTGATGGTGGTCTACATTTGTTACAACAACTGAAAGAAACGGCCACTTTGTTCCTCCCAGCTGCCCTTTCTGCCCTTTCCTTCTAGCCCAGTTTACTAATCTAACACATCCAGATGAACCTTTACTGCTCGCTGTTTTGTCCACTGGCTTTGAAAAGTGGTAGTAAAATTATACACATTGAAGCACACGTTAACAAGAGGAAATTCAGCCTTCTGTCAAAACTGCAGCAACTAATAAATACGCTCCATAACAGTAAGACTCTTATTTTTCAATCTGGCCCCTTTGATAAGTGACAAAATTATACATACTAATTCCAGGAATGCTTTCTATGGGGATCTGTCGTACTCCATCTTTGAAGCAAGAAAGACCAGGATAAACTTTCCGAATCTGAGCTTGCTTCCTTTCAATTAATTTTTTAATGATCTGTAAAAAAAGAGTGATATAGAAAGGAGATTTAATTATGACAGCGAAGGAAAATGTATGGCAAGCAATCTGTTTAGTGCATCAGATTCACGTGGGCAGCTGCGTTGGTCTGAAGCAGCAGAACAAAGTCTGAGTCAAGTGGCACCTTTAAGACCAACAAAGTTCTGTTCAAGGTATGAGCTTTCGTGTGCACACACACTTCTTCTGATATCTGTTAGTGCATCAGTTAGGGATTTTTATCTCTAAAAATGTACAATCTGTGGATTTTAATCTAAAAACATTACTTTACTGGATCAAAGTTACAATAGGCCCTGGTCACACAGGCTGGATATCGCGGGGGGGAGGCGTGGCTGTTTGCCCCGGAGCGAACTATTGCGCGGCCGCTGGATCAAATGTCCTGCCGACGTCCCGTGGTTCGGGGGGAGGTGCTGATCATACGTAAATCCTGCAGCGCGGCAAAGAAGCAGCGCGGCGGGGGTTGTTTTTTTTTTAACTGAAGTGTGCGCATGCGCCGTTGGGTGCTTGTGCGCATCCCGTGGAGACTTAAAAAAAACCCTTTTCGCGACGGGACATGGGCAGGCGCCAGATGCCACGAGCTACCACCGGAAACGTGATCAGACGCCTGCCCTTGCCCCACGGTTTCCGGAAACGAGTACCTCGGGGGTACTAGTTTTTTACGGCGCATCTTTGGCGGGAAGCCACGGGTTCACCATGGAGCTCTACGCTTCCCAGATCGCGCCCGGAAAATCCGCCTATCTTCCGTCTCTGTAGTGTGGCTAATGCTCCATGTGACCGCAGCCATAGAATACCTAATTTCTATTTTTAAAAAGTTGCTTTCAATGTGCACATTCTGAACTTCTTGTGTGCTGCCTCATTTAGTTCAATGGCTGACCCTGCTAATAAAGTGACCCTTGCTGGGTTTATATTGGAAACATCACAGGGTATGCTAAATTAGATAAGTTGGGGTATAAACCAACTCTATGTGCTACTGTATCATCAGTGTCAAAAATTCTATTTGAAATAATAAACAGCAAATTAGACAAGGGTGCTTTATAAAACTGTGGAACATTTGTTGAGTAGAAGGTAATATGAAAAGCAAAATCATCTTTGATATACTGACAAAGTAACACTTCAAAAGAAATCATATAAATCAAAAGAAATCACACAAGCTTTCAAGATCCTCAAAAATAATAATTCTATACAGTGATACATCTAGGCCTCTGGGGGGGGAGGAGAACAAAATCCACTAGAACAATTCATTCTATTAAACTTGAGAAATACTTGCAGGTAGTAGCATAGATTTGGTTGGTTTGTAACAGTGGACCAACAGAAAACTTTTTACCTCTTTCTGCTTCTTAATGATAACTGAAAATTCAGTATATGGAATCTTTGGATTTAATTCACATCCCATTAAAGTGGCTCCTTCATAATCCTTGATATAGCCAACGTATTTTGCTTTGGGTACTTTAATATCTTTTGAAAAACCCTTAAAAATGGAAAAAAAACTTTTAAAATATACTCTTGTTCTTAATAGATTTCTGAAGTAATGCTGATTTTTCTTGGATACATGAGCTTTCAGGTTCTTTGAAGCAACAATTCTGTACATGTTACAGGAGGTCATATTTCTGAACCCACATATTTCCAAATTGAGCACATACAATGTTCAGACCACATGCCATATCTCACAACATTGCTTTCAGACAGAATCTTACATCTTGTTCCAAACCTGGCTCAAAAAAAGAAAAGAAAGTAAAAATATGTCCATGTGCCTTGTAGAAGTTTAGAGAAATGTTTTCTAAAATTAAAGGGGAAATGATTTACCGCAAAATTTCAAACCACATAGTCACTGCTACAGCATACAACAGCAGAGAGGCAGGTCTGTGATTAGGCTCAGCCTAGCTCACTTATTCTGAAAAGGAATGCATTTATGTCTGCTATCATTTACTTAAGAGTAGCACTGTCTGCTTGGAAGAATGGAATGTAACCTCTCTCTGTAAAGCAGATCAGCGATAGCCTTTGATGAAAAGACTGACAGAATATATCACAACAGGGGGAAAATGGGGAATTGCTTGTTCTCAGAACCGTGAATATGGCAAGTGGAAGGAGAATGGCTAAGTACAATAAGTTCAATGTAATCCCCAGGGGCTAATAAGTACAATAAGTTCAATGTAATCCCCAGGGGAGATTGTTAGTTAATTTTTTAAAAGCAAACCTTCAAGAAACTTTGATTTTTCCCCTCCCATCTGTTACTTACTTACTTACTTACTTTTATTTATTTACATTTATTCCACATTGAAAATCCAATGTGGCTTACATTGTTTCTCTCTCCTTCACAACAACCCTGTGAAGTGGGTTAGGCTGAGTGTGTGTAACTAGCCCTACTTCACCCAGCAAGATTCCATGGCAGAGTAGAGATTCGAACCAGATTCTCCAGGATCATAGGTCAACATTCTAGCAACTATACCACAGTGTTAGCAAAATGTTTATTCACAAAAAAGCTTTTAGATGTCCCATTCAAAATATACTATTGAAGACAAAGCTATGATGAACCCCTTCCACTTCCCTCCCTCAGAGGCTAGATTTTCCCTTCATTTCTCCAGCCCTTCACTGACTGAGCAGCCCTGGTAATATGTTTTCTTCTCCCCAGAAGAAACTCTGGCTTTCCCACCCTGTCAGTAAGATATATTTTGACTATTTGCTCAGCCCAGGACCCTGAGGGAAGGGATAAAATCGCTCTTGAACTTAAACCCTTGAAAATGGCACTTGAGGTGCTTTTAAATTTCAAAAATAACAAAAAGGTCTCATTACAGAAGTTTTACAAGAGTCACAAAAGCTTATATCCTAAAAAATTTGTTGGCCTTTTAACCACTGGTGGACATCCTGATGGCACCTGGGTTTTAGTCACACTTTTTAAACAAATAGTCTAGACAACAATAAAACCCAAGCAGTGGCAAACTACCAGATATGGTACAGATCCTGCAGCAGCTTACTATGGGATCTTCTTCACCAGAGGATTGGCTGCTTGTTGCTCCTCGTGGCCCGACTGAGGGCTGCTGGGAGCAGGGGGCAGGACTTGTTGCATGTGCCCCCCCTGAGCTCCTTACTGCCGGAGCTTTGCTCCTGTGCGCTCCCACAGGAAATGACCCCTGCCCTTTCCTTTGGCCTGAATGGCAGTCTTCTCTGCTACCTAAATGTCCTTGCCAAAATCTCCCCCAGTTCTCCAGAGTTATCTCTGTACTCCTCAAAGATAACTTTCCCTGTTTGACTGGGTAGGGAATCTTCTTCTCTCTCAAGAAGATCTAGCCACTTTCCTTTGGCCTGAATGGGAGTCTTCTCTACTGCCCCAAACTTCTTTGCCCAACTTTCTCCCAGCTCTCTGTCTGTGTTGAAACTGCTCTCAGCTACTGCTGAATTTAGACTGCGTTCAGTCAAGGTTGAAATCTGACTCTGTCAGCACTAAACCTTTTCTGTTAGGGCTGTTCACAGATGGTTTCAGTATGCATCTCTTCTCAGGTAAGACAGGAATCTGACTGACTTCTCAACATCTAGCTCTCTCAAGACTTTCTTTGCTCAGCCAATGCTAACCAATCAGATTGCTTGGAACAGCCTGTCACTCAAGGTTCTCTGAATAATTAATCATTCATAGTCCTTCAGTTGTTAGTACAGCACTTCTAAGCTCTTAAAAAGTACAGTCTATCACACATGGCTATTCCTACTGTTCCTAACTTTCCTAGGAAAAAATGGGCTCTGGTTACATGGAAAGCAAACTAAGAGCTATTCTATTACTCTGACATCATGTATTTGTTATCAAGGGTGTTTCTACATGGGTTATGTGCCCCAAGTCTGAGGCTGTTATGTATGTAACATGCCATCAAGTCATGACTAAATTATGGTGACCCCAACAAAGGGCTTTCAAGGCAAGTGAGAAGCAGATGTGATTTGCCATTGCCTTCCTTTGAAGAATCTTTCTTGGTGTTCTATCCAAGTATCAACTCTTCTTAGCCTCAGATCTGACAAAATTGGGCTATACCATGCCACCTTCCATTAAGAAGTAGGGTTTTTTTCCTGCTTCCCTACAGCATAACAGTGCACTTTCTGGGGGTTCCCCAGCTTTTTTTTTAATCTTTCCCAGACATGCTTTTAAGAACATAAGAACATAAGAGACGCCAATGTTGGATCAGGCCAAAGGCCCATCCAGTCCAACACTCTGTGTCACACAGTGGCCAGAAATACCAGTGCCATCAGGAGGTCCAGCAGTGGGGCCAGGACATTAGAAGCCCTCCCACTGTTGACCCCCCCCCCCAAGCACCAAGAAGACACATCACTTGCCCCAGAGCCCCTAGCTATACCTTGTGGCTAATAGCCACTGATGGACCTCTGCTCCATATGCTTATCTAATTCCCTTTTGAAGCCATCCATGCTTGTAGCACCCACCACTTCCTGTGGCAGTGAATTCCAAGTGTTAATCACTCTTTGGGTGAAGAATGTCAGCACTAAACCTTTTTCTGTTAGGGCTGTTCACAGATGGTCTTCTCAGGTAAGGCAGGAATCTGACTGACTTCTCAACATCTAGCTCTCTCAAGACTTTCTTTGCTCAGCCAATGCTAACCAATCAGATTGCTTGGAACAGCCTGTCACTCAAGGTTCTCTGAATAATTAATCATTCATAGTCCTTCAGTTGTTAGTACAGCACTTCTAAGCCTCTTAAAAAGTATAGTCTATCACACATGCCTATTCCTACTGTTCCTAACTTTCCTAGGAAAAAATGGGCTCTGGTTACATGGAAAGCAAACTAAGAGCTATTCTATTATTCTGACATCATGTATTTGTTATCAAGGGTTTTTCTATATGGGTTATGTGCCCCATGTCTGAGGCTGTTATGTATGTACATGCTATCAAGTCATGACTGAATTATGGTGACCCCAACAAAGGGCTTTCAAGGCAAGTGAGAAGCAGATGTGATTTGCCATTGCCTTCCTTTGAAGAATCTTTCTTGGTGTTCTATCCAAGTATCAACTCTTCTTAGCCTCAGATCTGACAAAATTGGGCTATACCATGCCACCTTCCATTAAGAAGTAGGGTTTTTTTCCTGCTTCCCTACAGCACAACAGTGCACTTTCTGGGGGTTCCCCAGCTTTTCTTTGATCTTTCCCAGAATTGCTTTTTTTGGGGGAAAGATTGCAACAAAGTCTGGATTGTTGCCGCATGCATGGAAAAGTCTGGATTTTGCCAGTCACACTCACATAGCAGCCATTCCCCCTGTCCTTCAAACTTTTACATTTTCTAAAAATTGGAGATTGGATAGCGATATATTGATGCACTTTTAGCCTGATACGGGTATCAGCTTCCTTTCTTTTTGTCTTTCTTAAAGTTGGTTCCTAGACCCTTTTCCTTGCAGAGATATAAGGGAAATGTTATCAATCTCTGATTTTAAAAAGACTTCCAGGGAAACCTGTGTGGAAGCCTTGTTGTCGCTTTGCTGTATTAGCAGCTGTAGTAGCAAGAGGGAAACTAGACAAGTCTGTCCCCATGTAGAAAACACCCATGAGACTGCTCCCTTTCCTGTGGAGAAAGCCATCAGTGGAAGACTGAGTTTGCTGAAAGAAGAGAAACTCTTCTTGCAGTATGGAAAAGCAACACGGTACCTGGCACAGTACAGTAGTGAAGTAGAAAATAACCACACACACACAAAGTCAGAGCATTGG